GATGAAGCTGGGTCGGGCAGGGCTTTCAGAGGCTCTGCCCCATGCCATCCTGCATGGGCCCCCCTGGGGTCCCCTCCCGGACCAGAAGGGAGAACTCTGGGAGGGGACTCCCTTGCCCCACATCTCCTAACCCTAACCCAGCTGCACCTCAGTGGGAGGTACCTCAGCATTTGGTCCCTAATTCAGAGGCAGCAGCCAGTGCACACTGGATGGGGAGCTGTCTTTGGAGAGCCTAGCCCTGGCTCTGAGCCAAGGAGCTGTGTGGCCTTCAGCTTCAGCCCAAATGCAACCTCTCTGCTGCTGCCGGCCACTTCCTGCCCTCCAACCCAAGGCTGGAGCCCCAGCCTGGCTGCCTGCATCTTGCTTCTCAGTCCTTGACTCCTCAGCTTAGCCCAGCATGAGACTGGGCACCCATCTGGCACCAAGCGAGACTCCTGGCATTGCACGGACCCAGGCCCCTTCCTCAAGGCCTGGGGTTGGCAGAAAAGCAAGCCAGCCTTAAGCGCCTGCTGAGTGCCAGGGCCTGCTGGGTGCTGGGACAGAGAGAGAGACCTGAGAAGTTGGGCAGCTGCCCTGAGGGGCCCCAGCTCTGAGCAGCCCCTGTCCCCAGGGCTCAGTCCTGACCTCAGAGTTTGCAAAGGCCAGCTAGTCCAGTCAGCTCAGTCCACAGAGGCCCTGGGAAGGAGCATTTGCAGGGTATAACCCAGGGAATAAATGGTCAGTTGGGGATCCAGGTCCAGGCCTGACTCCACTGAACCCCATTGCCTTCCTGGGCCTCCCTACTGACTGCCACTGATGCTGGATGGGGCTCCTAGGAGGGATGGCTCATGCCCCCAGCCCTGCTCCCCTGGCACCCCCTGAGTTCTGGATGCTTCTCCCAGGGAGGCCAGAGACAGGGCAGCCCCAGACACCTGCTTCTACACTGACAGGCTTAGAAGGTCTCGGGCTGGTCTCAGGGCCTGGGAGAGAACCGGGATACACTTGGGGGCTGCTGGGACCCGCCCACTCCGAGCTGCCTGGCGGAGGGATTATTCACTACAAAGTGGGAAATGGTTCTTTTTTCTCCTCAGTCTCAGTCTCCTAGCCCTGGCTCTGAGCCAAGGAGCTGTGTGTTGGCACGCCAACAACAAAGCCCCTGGGGATTCCGGCCTTTCCTTCTGCTGGGCCCCCTCCCCAGCTGTGCCTGACTCCCGGAGCTGAAGTCTTGGGGAGCTGTTGAAGGCCCCACCCCGCTGGGGGGGTGGGGGAGGGGGGTGCCATGGCTGGGGTGTGCTGGGAGGGACGGGGGACTTCCTTGTGTCCCCAGGGTGACGGGGCTGGCCCTGACATCTCCCACTGATGATTCTGCCCTGTAGCTTTGGCCCAGCTTCCCTCAGCCTGCAGCCTCCCCTTTCCTTCTCTTCCTCCTCCACCCCTCCGGAGCCCCTCTGCTGCAGGTCTGATTCCCCTCACACCCTGCCTCCAGTCTCCCCACTGCAGCCCAATGTCCGTGGTCCACTTGCTCAGCTCTCAAATGGATCCTCCTACAACTTAGGTCTAGCTGTCGCACACACCCTTGGGTGGTTCCCTGGGTTGGGCCTTCAGGGCCCTTCACCATCTGCCCCCTGCTACTTTTCCAGTCTTCTCACTCCCCAGCTCGGACTCTTGGATCTGGTGAAGGCGCCTGACCTCATCCCTTCCCATCTCAATATCTCTCATCTTCACTGTCTCCCTGGCTAATGGCTCCTTCTCCCCTGGGTTCCCCATGCCTGGGGAATGGCCATGCCCACAAACCATCATCCCATGTGTCTCTCCTAGAAAAATCGGCTCCTGTCCCAGGTATTCCTCTTCCTCAGTCATTGTTAGTCTGGCCACCAACCTCATTACTTGCTCAGGTAACGGCTTGTTCAGGTATGTCCTGGGAAAGCAAGTGCTCAGGGCTCTGGCCTGGGCCCTTTTCTTTCTCCCTGGTAATCTCCTCTGCTCGCATGGGTTCCATTAGCATCTCTGTCGATAATTCTCAGAGTGATTTATTCAACCCCAGTCCCTTTCTTGAGCACTAGACTCATGCCACCCCCTGCTGCTGGCCATCTGCAATCAGACATTCCATAGGCGTCTCGAACTCCAGGAGTCCAAAGCAGGACCCTGCCCAGACGGCCTCCACGGCAGTCACATTCCTTCCTGTGGGAGCTGTTCCTAACGTCTGCATCTGACCGTGTCACTGCCCTGCTCCCTAGTGCACCCTCCCTTTCTTGGCATCTGAAACCCTTTGTGACCTGACTTTCAACTCACCACACCTTGCAGCCAAGCTGGTCTCCTTGGAGGAAGTTGAGGATAAGCTATTTCCTCTCCCACCCGCCGTGCCTTTTCACTGGCTGGTTCCCTTGCCTGAAATGTGCTTTCCCTTTACCACTATGTCTGTCTTTCAAGATAGATTAGATAGGTAAGTAGAGGAAAGAAAGATGGATAGATAGATGATAGATAGGTTTTTTGTTATTGTTCAGTCATTCTTCAGTTGTGTCCAACTCTCTGTGACCCCATTGGGGGTTTTCTTGGCAGAGATACTGGAGCAGTTTGCCATTTCCTTCTCCAGCTCATTTGACAGATGAAGAAACTGAGGCAAACAGGGTTAAATGACTTGCTCAGGGTCACACAGCTTGGAAGTGTCTGAGGCCAGACTTGAACTCACAAAGATGAGTTTTCCTGACTCCAAGTCCAGTGCTCTATTCCTTGTGCCACTTAGCTTTCCCTGAAAGATAAGTAGATGAATACAAATAGATAGATAGATAGATAGATAGATAGACAGATAGATAGATAGATAATGAGGGTAGATAAACAAATGGACAGACAGAAATGATGGATGGATGGATGGACAGATAGAAGGATAGACAGATGGGTGGATAGAAGGATGGACAGATGATGGATGGATAGACTAAGAGATGAAGAGAAGGATGGACAGTAGGATGGACAGATAGTAACTAGATGATAGACAGATGAACATGCGGATATCTAGATAGCCAGATAGATGGATGGATGGACAGAGAGATAGATAGATAGATAGAAGGATGGACAAATAGATGATGGATGGATAGATAGCTGGACAGGCAGCCAGATAGGAATTAGATGATGGACAGATGAACATGTGGACAGATAGCTGGACAGACAGATGGAAAAGTGGATGGACGGTTATAAATTCTTACTATAGGCCAGGCGCTGAGACTGACATGAGCAGGTCAGATGGCCGCTCTCCTCAAGCAGCCCACAGTCGGTTGAGAGGGACAACTGAAGGAAGCACAGCCGGAAGACGGGGAGCGGGTGGCCTGCCCACGGGACATTTGAGTGCTGGTCGGTGGCCTGATCTGGGCAGCGGGCACCCCGCCTGGCTGGGGCAGAAGGTGCGTGCCGAGACACGGGATGGGAGCGACACGGGGACGTGGAGGTGCCTCCCACTCCCCTTTGGTGGGCTGGCTTGGGCAGTTGGCACCATGCCAGGCCCTAGGGGGCATGGGGAAGGTGTGCAGCAGTGCCAGGGCGCTTCTTCAGGTTGTCAGCAGCCTGTTCATCCTCTAGCTCTGATTTATCAACTGAGTAGGGGGGGAGCTGGGAGGAGATCGCATTGGCTTGTTTCCATGGCAACCCTATCGCCTCTGAAGTGGGCTGTAAAAGGAAGTATGTGAGTGGTGGCATCTTGAGCTGGACCAGGGTGATCTCTGGGAGGCGAAGCACAGTAGGGGGAGCGGTGTTGGGAGGTCCGCTCTGGCCAAACCTCGGGTGCACTGGCATCGGCAGTTAGCGGGCTCCCCTCCACCTGGTAGAAAGGTCGCAGGATCGGGGCCTCAGGGACCATTGTGAACAAGAGTCCACTGGAACAGCCCTGAATGGTGCCAGTCCTTTCTGGGCACCTCGTGAGGCAGCACCTCGGAGAGTTCCAGGTGGGGGAAGTTTGTCCCACCTCCATCAGCCTCTGGGCAGCTTCGCCTCCTCATTCCTGGTTCCGCCCTTGAGGACTAGCATTTCCACCCCCACCCCTACCCCCAGGCGTTCTCTCTCCAGAGCCAACACACCCAGTTCCTTCAGCTGGAGGTCCCGGCTCTCCCCACTCCCCCGGCCACCCTCCTCCCGGCACTGACTTTGGCTTGTCAGTGCCCTTGGCAGACCATGAGGTCCAGATCTGAGCCAGTCCTCCACATGGGGTCCAACCAGGGCAGAGGAGAGTGGGTGAATCACCTGCCTGCCCCTGGGCACCAGCTCCACCTCTGGTATGTGACCCAGCTCTGGCTGCCCTCAGGGAGCTCACTGGAAGCAGGCAACTCTCTGCAGATGCCCTGAAGTGCCAGGGGGCAGAACAGAAAGAGGCTAGAGAGACCGGGGTTTGAGGCCTGCCTTGGACTTTGATGGACCCATTGCATAAGCTTTGGGCCTCAGTTAGCTCACCTGTAAAATGTGTTAGCAGGACACGCACAGGGCCTGCCATCCTGGGTCATGGTCGGGCCCCCGGCACTGTGGCTGATATGACCCAGGGGCCTGTGGGCACCAAGCAGTGACTTCTCTGAGACCAGGGAAGCCTGAGTAGAGGCGGCATTTAGCTAGGCCTTGATGGGTACATGAAAACTAGAGGTGGGCAGGAGTGAGGCAGCTATCTCAGACTCTGGAGCTGTCCTTCCTTGTCACCCCTCATCCTGAGCCCTGCTCGCTGAGGTAAGGGTGGGTCTGCAGTGCCTGGAGGCATCCACACTGGAGCCCTGGGGCCTGGCCCTGTCCATTGCTGACTCGAACAGCCATGTCTCCCACCCTGGAGCCTGGAGCTCACCCTGTCCCTCACTGACCCTGGTGGCGTGTTTCTCCCACCGTAGGGCCCGTCCCCATCCCTCGCTGACCCGGTGGCCCGTGTCTCCCACCCTGGGACCCTGCCCTGTCCCTCGCTGACCCAGGTGGCATGTTTCTCCCACCCTGGAGCCCGTCCCCATCCCTTGCTGACCCGGGGGCCTGTGACTCAGCGGCTTCCCTCTCTGTCCCCACAGACCAGCACCGTGCTATGCTCAGGAGGCTGCGTGCTTCTGGCCCTCAGCGCCCTGCTGGCGGTCGTCTCTGTCTTCCTCCCCAGTGGGCTCTTGGAGAGGCGAGTCTGTGCCCTGGCCGGATACATGCAGATGGCAGCAGGTGAGTTCCTCCCTCCTCCCCCAGCTGTCTAGGCCCGGCTGTCAGCCCCACCCTCGCTCCACTCGGGGCCCCTTTGCTTTCCTCGTTCTCTTGTGGAACCAGAGGGCAGAGGTGTTGGTGGCAAGAACTGAGGGTTCTCCCTCCAAGGTCAGGAGAGGATCAGCATTTAGGGAAGGCTGGAGAGGCCTGAGGAGGGTCTCAAAAGTCATCCGCAATGGCTCCCCCCACCATAAAACTCCCCCTGCAGTATCAATGATGATTCAGTCCAAGCTTGAAGCCTCCCAGGGATAGAGAGCTCACTACCTTATGAGACAGCTCATCCCACTGGGGGATACTCTCCTTGGGGGAACGTTTTCTTCTGTGGATTGCCCCAAAATAACCCCCTCCTTGCCCGCTAGCTCAGGGCAGGGCCCACAAGAGGCAGAATGGTGCCACGTCCCCAGCGGCCTCCTCAGCATCCACGTGGCCACCAGCCTGCTTGGCCTGGATGGACTGACCCAGCCAAGAGCCCTGTGTCTGGACGGGGTGACAGTGGCCCTAATGGCTGTCATGAGGGCGAGCAGAGTCAGGGATGGGGCTGGAGGCTTTTCACTCACTCTGTTCCTGACTTGGGAAAGTTGCTTCTCTCTGAGCCTTAACTTCTACATCTGTAAGATGGGGTCATAGTGCTCATGGCAGTGATGTCGCGAGGTTGTCAGCGACCTCTGATCACTCACTGCCACCCCACCCCTGAATGGCTTTGCCCTTGGCCTTGGGTGGAGGCAACCACTCGGAAGTTCTAGGACAGGAGAGGCCGGGAGGGAAGCAGGCTCCAGGAGGCTGGGACTCAGTGTGCGCCCCTCCCCCTTCCCCAGGAATTCTTCATTACTGCTGCCCACTGGTCTCTGCCCCACAGGACCCCGTGTTCTTTTGGGTTTCCTTAAGCTCCCAGTTCTGGGGGGCAGGAAAGAGCACAGGAGTGAGTGCTATTGTTGGTGTCCTGTCTCCATGGCCCCAGGCACCACTGCCCCTCCTCTGGACACCAGACTGTGTAGTCCCCAGCCTTTGGCCTGCTGCGGGAAGGGGGCACACAGAGGGTGAGGTTGGGCAAGGCTGGCATCAGCCCAGGGGTGCCAGGAGGGTTAAAGAGACGCCTTTGTTTCTGTTCTGTGCATTGGTGCATGGGCCCAGCCCCTCTGACGCGCTGGCTGGGCCCAGCGTCTTGGGTCTGTGAGCGCAATTAGGGTTAGAGGATTGTGGCCGGAATGAGGAACAAGGCAGCTTGGCCTACTTGGATTCCGCAGGGACTCGGGCCCTGCTTCTGCAAGGCCTCCTTTCTGCTGCCCCCTCCACAGCCTGGGCATGGTGTGGGGGGAGGGGGGCAGCGGCAGCTTAATTCAGCCATTGGCTGTCTTCCCCACGAGGGCAGAGCAGGGCGGAACAGCCCCATTCCGGGTAAGAAACGGCTGCGGGCTGAGCCCACCCCTCACATCCTGCCTCAACATCTCCCTAGGACTGACCAGTAGGCTCAGCACCGACAGGGGCCCCTGCTCAGTGACTGAGAGGGGTCAGTGCATATCAATCCACCAGTCACCAGGTGTTTATTAAGTCCCTACTGCGTGCTGGGCCCTGGGCTTGGGCTACAAGTACAAAGAATGAAACAATCCCTGCTCCCAAGGGCTGACGGTCAGTGGGGGAGACAGTAAGGACAGGTAGAAACATGAAGTGATAAAAACAGAGGAGCAGCCAGGGGGCGCCGTAGTGCACAGAGCGCCAGGCCTGGAGTCAGGATGACTCATCTCCCTGAGTTCAAATCCAGCCTCAGACACTTCCTAGCTGTGTGACCCTGGGCGAGTCACTTCACCCTGTGTGCCTCAGTCTCCTCATCTGTCCAATGAGCTGGAGAAGGAAACGGCAGACCGCTGCAGCATCTCTGCCAAGAAAACCCCAGATGGGGCCACCAAGATCGGACACTTCTGAACAACAAATGTGAAGCATTTAAATGTGGAGCAGCTGCAGAGGGAAGCCGTAGGCATTTGGGGGGATCAGAGACAAGGCTGGGCTTAAGCGGGTCTGAGAGGAACAGGGGACACCAGGAGGCAGAGGTGGGGAGGGAGGGCATTCCTGGCCCCGGGCGAGACCAGTGCAGAGGTCTACCTACAGGCTGACGACATCCTCAGCAGGTGGCCTGATCCACTTTGACCATCCTGTCCACGTCCTGCACACTGTCCCCTCCGGTGAGCCAGATCTCACCCTCTCCACAAGGCTCTTCTTGGGTCTGGCTGCCCAGGGAGCCCAGCTGGCCCCTGGTGCAGGGGAGCATTCCTGGGGTGGGGGGCAGACCCCTCCTTGCTGCAAACTAGCCCTGGGCCTCAGTTTCTTCTCCTGTAAAATGAGGGGGTTGAGCTCTGAGGCCTGAGATTCCTTTAAGCTCTAAGTGTCTTTGAGACAGACTCCCTCCTTGGAGCAGCCTTCTCTGGTGAGTGCCCATGCTGGGCCCCACCTCTGCCCATTTCCTCTCTCCTGTTGCCTTGGGGCAGTCTCTGCCTGGCAAAGTGGGAACTGCCTCAGATGGACCCTCTTGGAGGGCAGAGAGTCAGTCCCAGGCCTTCATGCCACACTGAGGCACGCGGCGTCACCCCGGGACAGGATGGGGTTGTGCTCCAAGTCAGGGACCAGGTTAGGTCTGGCCAAAGGCAGGCATCCCTAAACGCTCTGTTCTTGGGGCGAGGGCACTGTCTGTGAGGAGAGGATGGGGCTGCTTTTCCATGAGATGAGTGGTCCTCACGGTGAAGGGGGTCCCCAGAAGGCATAGGCTGGAGTCTGGCTTTGATTTGCCATGAAGTGAGAGGCAGGGCAGTCTGGCTAGAACGGAGGTCAAGCTTGTGTCTGCCCAAAGTGGGACAAGTATGTAGGGTGAACCAAACCACTCACTGGTCTGGGGTGAACTCCAGTAATGTGGACCAGCCAGATTCAGCCCACTGCCCTCCCCAGTCTTCTCCTGCCCTTGAAGGTGGAACAGGGCTTAGTGCCCACATCCAGGGCCCAGCCCTTCTCAGCCCCTAGGGGGCCCAGAGGGAGAGAGGGAGGAAGGAAGGAGGGAGAGGAGAGTGAAGAAAGGAAGGGGGAGGGAGGGAGGCAGGGAGGCACAGGAGCCAGTGAGTGCAGGCAGAATCCAGCCTCTTCTTTTACAAGTGTGGAGGTGCTGGAATCTGGTTTCTCCCCCACCCCTATCCCTGATACACACACAGATAATTGATATGATCACAACAGGGGCAGATAACAAAGACAACAGTTTATTTATATGCTAATGAAATGCAAAACTGTGTCTGGCCCTGTTCCGCCTTTGGGAAGTGTGAAGGAGTTCTCTGAATGGAAGGGCAGCTGGGCTTGAGTTGAATGTGCCTGCACGTCATGCCCCTGAAGGGGAGGGCTTGGGAAAGCTAAGCCTCCCTCCCCCAAGCCTGGAGTGGAAGAGTAGGAAGCCTTCAGGGTGGGGAGCTGAGACTCCTTGGCCAGACAGAAATAGACCCTGGGAGCAGCTCTTGAGGCAGGAAACAGCTTCGCTGGCTGCAAAGAGAGTTGGCTATGGATTCAACAGACGAGTATCCCTGGCAACCGAGAGTCGAGCTGGGGAGCTAAGAAGGAAGCCCCAGGAGTCGTGCTGAGCAAGCAGCCCAGCAGGGGAAGCATCCCAAGCAATGTAGGGCTGACTACGTGCTGCCCACGCTCCCTAACTGCCCCATTCATGCCTGTGCCTTCTCTTGAGCACAAAGCGTACTTGTGTAGGCTCTTGGAGTTGGGGTGGGGGGCGGGAAGTGGATATTTTGTAACTACTATTGTCACTCTGCCAGTTTAGTAAATACCTTTGCTGTGAGTCAGTTATGTCAGTTATGGACTATTAAAGGTAGCCTCACTGGTGGGGGCTCCTAAGACTGAAGATTCACAGGATACTCTTTAAACTTGAGGTAGTCAACCCCCTGGGGATCCAACCTGCAAACCTGCATGTAAATTGGGGGGAGGGGATCCCCAGAGAAGGCTCCCCCCTGAGGGAGCACTTCAGGGAGGGAATTGTGGACTCTGAGCTGGATTCCACAATAGGGAAGGCTCTAGATGTTGTCTGCCTAGGTCTCCATCTGCAGCCTCAAGCCATTAGGATGTGGTTGCCTCCCACCCACCCTGGTCACAGTAAAGCTGTTTTCAAACCTGAAGTGTATGGGGCGTGGCACATAGTAGGAGCTTTAAAATGCTTGCCTGATGGATGGATGGATTGGGGACAATTAATCACAACCAATCAACAAGCATTGATTAGGGCCAGGTACTGAGGATCCAAGCACAAAGAATAATTGAACAGTCCCTTTGGGCAAGGCCACCTGATCTCCTGAGGGGGCGTCACTGAATATTTGTGGCCAGGCAGTGGTCAGGATAGAATGGCAAGGTGTGAGTGGTCAGGCCCCTGTTGGGAGGGGATGAGGGCCTGAGCCTGGCTGGTCTGTGGAGGGGCAGGGAGGGGACAGCCTTGGGAGGCATTCTGAAGGATGCCCACCGACAAGACTTGCTGACCAGTGAGATGTCCAGCTGGAGATGTGGGCCTGGAGCCCTGGAGAGAAGGCGGGGAGGGAATGAGTGGTTGATCTTGAGGAGACAGTGAAACCATGGGAGGGCAGTGCAGAGTGAGAGGAGGTGGACCACTGGCCCCAGAGTCATCCTTGATGGTCCGAGGGGGCAGCCTCTCTTCTGGCCTTCTCTCTGTCTTCCACCTTCCCCAGGGAGGAGGCCCCCCAACAAGGCCAATTCTTTGATGGGGAGCGTCCTGGACGCCATGGAGGCACACAGAGTCATTAACCTGGCCACACGCTCCCTGGTGTCTCAGCTACTCCCCAACACATGGCTCAGTTATAGCCTGTCCCTACTGGTCAGTGTCAGGCACAGACAGGCGAGGGGCAGGGAGAGGGAGTCTTAAAATATCAGAGCTGACATCCCAAGGACTTCCAAGGTCACCCAGCTAGTAAGTGTCAGAA